ATTTCCATCACCTTTCCGACACCTGTCTCAACTTCCTCTATTAACTGCCAATTTAGAATTAGTTCCTATCCAGGTTAATGATCTTTCATCTTGTCTTTCGTAGATATGTTCTGGGTTTAGATGAATATATATAAATAGAGAGATTTTTTTTGTAGAATAAATGTAAAAAAAATATATAACTGAAAATGTAAAAATTAGCATACCAAAGTAGGAATACTCTCAAAAAGATATTTTACGTAAAAAAAGTTCAAAGAATGGTGTACAATCCTCAGAAAAAACTGTCACACATAGTATCGATATTATCGCCAACTCTGCTAGGTATTGACCCTTGGTGATTCGTAGAGGAGTTCGTTTGATCCTTGAACTAAAAAGATTGGATATTCCTTGTATAGATAAGGAGTCTCCAAACATTCTGACCTGTGGGGACACATTGATACCTTCACAAAATCCCATGTTTCATGGACTGTGTTGGGAAAAACATATCGGTGTTCAAAAACATTGAAAATTGGTCGATATTACTGATAGATCGCCATTAAAACATCGATGCGTTTTATTTATTTATTTTGATAATTATTTATATATTTTTTTTGTTCTCCCAGCCATCGCATTATTATTTTATTTTTAATTGCTCGAGCTTTGGGGCTCTACTAAACCACCAAATTCCTCTCGTATTCAATCCCTACGATCCAAAATCCTCCGAAAAATCCTTAATGCTCCCTACTTTTTCACAAATAAAATCATCCATAATGATCTTAATGTACCATATGTTTCCGATTTAGCTCAATCCAGATACCTATCCTTCCATAGTAAACTTCTGAACCATCCTCTTGTTTCCAACCTTGCTTCCTCTTCTATTCCTGATAACCCTCCGAGGCGTCTGAAAAGAAGATGGCCTCGGGACCTTCTAATATATAAATATAATTGGAGTGCTACCAATGTGTAGTATATCTCTATATGTTTTATATGTCATGTTACTTCTTCATATTTACTTGTTGTATTTATCATTTAATACAGTTGTAAATTTCAATAATAAAAAATATTTTAAAAATTTATTTCAGCGAATTTCATATTTAAGGGTTAAAAAGGGCACTTATAGCAGGAGGAGGTTTTAATGTAATTACGAAAGTGTACTTCAATTAAGAAGTATTTGTTTACCGTTCCAAAGTCACCGAATTAAAAAATATTAAGTCAACGATATTGAGTATCGAAATAGTGATAATGTTATTGTTCAGAGAAAAAAAGTGTATTTTTTTAATTTGTATAATTCGTAAACAGTCCACCCTTACTTAGATTCCTCATACAAGACTGAAACGACAAGAAACTTCTCGACGTTTCAGGATAATCCAAAATCTTCCCTCCGAAAAATTCTCAATGCTCCTTACATTATCACAAATTAAATTATCTATAATGGCCTTAATTTTCTATATGATAGCAATTCATCCAAATGCAGATACATATTCTTCCTTATGGAACTTTTGATAACTATTGATCAGTTATAATGATGAAACAAAATTTGACAGTAATTTGAGTCAAGATATTTTTATTAGGTTATCCGACGTTTTGACACAAACATTTGGGCCATCCTCGTGGCTAAAAATTACAAAATATAAAATAACATCAGTAAAATAATAAATATAAAAGTGTAAGGGTAATAAGAGTGCAGAATAACAATAACCAGATGGTAGTAATAACAATAGTAAACAATAAAAACATTGAAATATGATAAGAAATTTATTTTTGAAGTGAAAACTTCTAAAGGCGCGTTTTTTACTTTTTTGTGGAGACAGAATTAGATTGATCCGTTAGATTTCATTCGGCATTAACACTCGGGTAAAATCGGCTATAGTCGACTAATTAAAATATTTTTACATATGGATTAAAATATCTCAAAAACTGAAAATTGGACCTGAATACTGTAAGCGAGGAAATTGTTCAGCATTTCATCCTCTTTATAATGAGATATTATTCAAAATTGTATCTTGAACGGGATGCCGTGTTAGGAAGGCGAATTGGAGAAAATAGGGTTGAAAACCAAATGATAAGGTTAGTTGAACATATGTAATAAAATATTTCAGATACTAAAAATCGAATCTTTTACTGAAAGCGAGAGAAATGTTCAGCATTTCATCTTCTTTGTAATTTGCTATTATTTATAATTTATATTTCATATTATTAATCTCGCCTTGTTGATGTTTTCATTTATATCGTGTGGTCTAAAGCACACACCTTAGTTTTTTTATATAAATAAATGAAAAATGTAAATATATCAAAAGTAATTTAATTTATTTATATGCATTGTTTTTGCACATTTATTATTTATTGAATTGTTTTTGTTCTTGCTATTTACACTAATTATTTGTTTTTTAATTCTTACTTTTGATATACCTATCTTCTCTGATATACTTATCATTTGGCTGATTTTATTGTTTTCTTTTATTAATATCATCTTACGTATTTATTCTTATAAATATCATCTTGATACTGTTATTCTGTACTCTTATTACTCTTAAACTTTTATATTTATTATTTTACTGATGTTATTTTATATTCTGTAATTTTTAGCATTGAGGATGACCCACATGTTTAGGTCGAAACATCGGCTAACCTAATAAAAATATCTTTACTGAAATGCCTGTCAAATTTTGTTTCATAAATAAAAATTATTACTGTATAATCAAAGAAACTTTTGCCGAATGATTGTAGGTGTTCGCAGGGCTTAGTTCGCAGATCCCTGGTTTAGAAGAGCATAAAAATTACAGTAATTTAAAACTCCTAATCATCAAGCTTGTTTGAACTGTTCTTAGGCTCCTTGTAAAAAGTGAAGTACACGAACATTAATAATGATCCTTAATGAAAATGGATGTAATATTTACAATGGCGGGTAAGCGTGAGTTAAGTGGCTTTCTCTTTGATTCTTTCCATCTCAGATAGTTGCCATAATTGAGCAACTTGATGCGTTAGGCAGCTGTTTTAATCCCACGATTAAACAATGAGTCATTATGGCAATTTCTCTTCTCTTTTTTTTTTTCGCTTGATCACGCTTGTTTTCACATGACAATCTGAAACCACTATCGATAATAAACTTTCTTAATATTCACAGCCTCTTCTCAGCCTCCAGTGGTCATTAGTATCAGTGATGCGGCTGAGCGATAGGCGCCGAGATCTCCTAGAGTCCTGCTTTTCCTTCCACGTATTGGGAGTAAGGCTTTGCTCCGAGTTCACCTGAGTGCATAGGCACAGACATTCGATTTTGATAGGGGAGTCAATGTACAAAAAAAAAAAAAGTGGGAATTTTTATTGAGTTTAGAAATTCAGCATAATTATTTCAAAATTAAAAATATTTATGTATAGTTGAAAGGATTTTTATTTTTTTTTGTTTTACGTATTATACATACTTGAAAATATCTTTTAAAAAAATACAATTGAATATATAACGTATTTGTTTGATTAAACACAGGAGAGAAGGAAGACAGCCTTTCATAACATTGGTACATTTCTAAAACTTTTTCAGCTAAAAATGAATAATGTAAAAAAGTGAAAAATATCTTTGATTTATTAGTATGTACAATCTCAAATACAAAATACGTTTTTCACAATCCGACTAGCCGCAGGAAATTTGATAACAATATCACGTGAAAATTGAGGAGTGATTGAATCATAAAATCATAATATATGTTGCTACATATTAATAAAAATTAAGCAACAGCTTTATTCTCCCAACAATTATTTATTTTATTTTTTTACGACTTTTCGAAATTACTTTATTATCCCATCTTCAGATCGTTTTTCATCCTTCTATCATCTTATTTTTTTTTTTTTAAAGATTTTTTATAATTTTATATTTTCATCACTCATCCCTTAATTATGAAAATATAATTACAAAATTATAGAAATTTTTTTTTTTTTTAAATAAGATGATAGAAGGATGAGATACGGTCTGAAGATGGAATTATAAAGTGGTCCCGAAACGTCGTAAAAATAAAGAAAATAATTGTTGGAAGAGTAAAGCTGTTACTTAATTTTTATTTATATACCTCAGATAAGAAGCATCTCTCTAAGGACTTTTATTGCACAAAATAAAAAAATTTCCAAGGCATCTTTGTAGCAAATATAATTTTTATTAAATGTTTATTACATCCAAAATAATTCCTGACAATTCTCCGAAGCGTCTGAAAAGAAGATGGCCAAGCGACCTCATAAATTAAAATAATCTTTGAAATGCTACCAATGAGTTTCTTCTTCCCGAATTCTTATCATGTTTTATGTTCTTTTTGCAGATTTACATCTTATGTTAATTGATAAAAATACAACAGTTGTAAATATCCATATGCGAAGTCCAAAAAATGTAAATTTATATACAATATTGAATAGTTGATCGTTGTATTATAAAGGAAGGAGATGGTCCGGGGTGGCGGTCATAAATAGGCTAAATAGTGGCAAAACTATTTTATTAAAAGCCAACGTTTCGACCCGACTTTGCAGGTCTTCTTCAGGGCTAGAACGGACAAGATACAAAAAGATATAGAGAATTGTGGAAGTTACATAATATTTAGAAAAAAAATTATAAACAGTAAGTACATAAAAATATAAACAGAGTAAACTAAGTAACAAGATCCTAAACTGAAGTAAATAAATGCTAACAATTGTTGTAGTGTAATATATAATATATGCAAATGTGAATATACTCCTACAGACCACAGGAGAGATTGAAAGAAAAGGAAAAAGGATATAATATGAAATAATAGACGTAAAGGAATGTGGAGAAAGAAAAGAAAAAATAAAACCAATAAATAAGTAAATAAAATTATAATAATAATAAAATAGTTTTGCCACTATTTATGACCGCCACCCCGGACCATCTCTTTCCTTTGTAAATTTATATAGTTTTAATAATAACATATAATAAAGTCTAAAGTGAGTTTTTTTTCTAACCACCTTAAATATCGATTATAAATAATAATAAGGTGGACATATCGTTCATATCCGGTGAATATGGTTACCTTTTCTTCCGGATCTCTCCTCTTCCTCCAGCATCCGGAGAACGGCCGAGTTGGCCAGATTTCCAGGTTTAGCCAGATTGTGGAAGTCAACCCTGGAAACAAAATATAATAAAAATTAATTAATATATAGATACAATTTTAAATTTTAGTTCATACTCAAAAATAAAATTATTCAATTTGTAATAATATCGATGCCATTTTATAATTATTAACAAAATAAGAGGTGAAATGTCATTCCTTAACTGAATGATTCATCAATTATTGAAAGAATGACCGTGGCATTAGCTAGTTTTAGCATAATCCTGTATTCAATATATCGATAAATATTAGAAAAAATCCATGAGTTCAAATTAACGTTAGTTCTGTGAGCACTAATGTAGATTATTTTTATATAATTATTATGTACAGACTTTTGATTATTATTTTGTTTCTATTTATTTTATTTTATTTTTTTGTACATATAGTGTGAATGTCATCCTACCTCACTACAATGTCCAAGAGACAGATTGTTGTAATACTCAATAAAGAAATAAAATAAAATAAAAATAAAAATTATTTACAGCAGTTTTCATATTTGACAAAATTGTAATTTTTTGGTATTAAAAAAAAACTGTTGGTTCTAGAAAAAACTAACTCTAATTAAACGTACACAGTGTTATCAGGCCTCGATGTTTTATTTATTTGTTTAGTTTGTCATAGGTGGTTTATCAGGTTGAACAGTAAATGAAAAATTAACGAAAATCAAAGCTTTGGAAGTTAGGTGTGCCTTGGTTGGAACTTACATATATTAGCCAAACAATATATTAAATAATCAGAAATCCCGGAATTTTATATTTCAAAGAACTTCGTTTCTGGAATGTACCAGATCAGAATTACAACTTGTCCATAAATTAAAGGTCATTCTCATCCACTCTTTCTTTAACTCGGCTACCAATAACTGGTTGAAGATTAGGCCAATATTAGTTAATTTAATATATAAATAATATAAAAATAAAGAACTTGAGTAGGCGGGGTTTCAGAAATTATATTAGGATATTTTGACTTTGTGGTAGACCAATCCATAGATTATGTTACATCTAACGGTGTAGTGTGTGTATTAAGCAGATATCTATATTAAATCTCAGGTTTCGAAAACAAATTATAATTAAACAGAGATTTGGGTGTAATTCAATCCCAAATACAAAAAATATAAATATTTATAAATAGATAAAACAGCTTTTTATAATTCACTTCAACCAGTAGCGGATTCGAGGAAGGGAAAAAAGCGGAATTTTCTCTCCCAAAATATTAAAACAGATAAAGAAAAAAAAATAAGCCTGTTCAAAATATATCTATAAGTACGAGTATTTTTGAATAACTCTGAGTATATTATTGTTTGTTACGTAGAGGAAAATAATAAAAAAATAATCAACTTTTAAGAAATCGATCAAAAATGCATAAATGAAATTAATCAATTAAGTTATGTGTTGGTAAATAAAAATACAAAAAAATATTTGTATTTTATTTTTAAAATACTAAAATATAAAAAATGTACTTTATTTTGTATTTTAAATACACGAAATAATTTACTAAATAGAGTAGTATTACTTTTATTTTTAAAATACATTATCTAAAATTAAATACATTGGAATTAAAATACATTGTATTTAAAAAAAAAAAAAAAATACACGGTATTTTAAAATTATATTTAAAATACATTTTGCCCAGATCTGATTTAAGGTTATGAAATGTTACTTAATGATTCTATGGTAAACCAACCAAATAATATTACGTTAAAAAAAAAATAATAATAAAAAAAATCTCTTCCCCCTCAAAAAAAATTATGAATCCAAATTCTAACAAAAATCGATTTAAAATAGTCCGAGATACGATATGGTTAAATAATCGTTTTTTTTATAAAGCAATAAAATTTAATCAATTATTTCATTAACAGTGAAAATCCTCTAATTTGGCTTCAATTAATTTAGATAAGGGATAATTTTAATTATTCTAATTTTAATTCGAAACTAAATGTAAATTTCAATTAATTGCAAATACTATTATATTTATAGTTTATTATATTCGGTTTAATGTTGAATATAGAAGAGGAGGATTTGCTTTTATTTTTTTATCTGAATATATAAATATTATTTTTATAAGAATATTATCAGTAATTATATTTATAGGTTGTGATTTAATGTCTTATTTATTTGAGTTCGAGGAGTATTACCTCGTTTTCGATATGACAAATTAATATATTTAACTTGAAAGCTATTTTTACCATTATCCTTAAATTATTTTTTATTATTTTTAATTTTTTGTAAATAAAATTTATTCATTAATTTTAAGTATATATAAGTCAATGAAATAATCTAACTTTCATTATATACTTTCAAAATATAAGTTTCTCTAAAACTTATCAACTGAAATTTTATTCTAAAAGTTTATCTCAGATTTTTATTGTAAAAGGATTAATTAAGATATAAAGAATAAATAATTGTCAAGTTTCTTCACAATATTTTGTTCAACTTGATTGTCTCCCCCCTCTAAAAAAATGTTCAACTTCATTGTTTCCCCTCTCTCAAAAAATAAATAACAGTATACTTACAAGGGAATGTTACAATTTTATATAGCGTTTGAGGAAAAGAATGACAGTTTGTAATACTTCATTGTTGTGTTTGGAGAAGAGGCTAATAGAGGATAAAATACTTAAACAAACAGCGGAAGGAGAAAGAATGTAAATATTCTAAAAATAAGAGAAATACCTTTGCTGAAACTCCATGAGCGGGACCTGGTGTGATACTGACTCGAATGGACGCTTCGCTCGACCCCACTTCGAAACTGGTCACTTCTACACTTTCATTCTCGGTTTATTTGCTCGTGTTAACACGTCTTGTTTCGTGTTACATCACCGCGTGTCTTACGACTGATTTAACTCGTGATCTACACGACAGGACTTGAAAACATTCGGGTTGACCTCGTCCGAATTTCGTTGAGGTCACGGATAGGCGGGTGGGGATCCAAAGAGAATTTGGAGACGATTCAATGCAATGGTGAAAGTAGCTTTCGGATAAGTCTCAATGATTACGCATATAATGAAACTAAATTTAGTAGGTGGGACCCGACTTTCCATTTTCATTGCGGGGGCGATGGACTAATATACGTATAAAAAAATATTTAATACAAACATTGTCTATAAAAATCAACGTAGTTATAGTCAAACGAAGAATGGATATTATATTTTAAAATGAAAAATAAATGTTTATTCATATCTATACCTCAGGAGTAAAAGACACCATGTCCATTGTTTTATTAAATAATTTTATTAACTAAACGTTAATAGCTCAAAATTATGGAACATTGGTTTCTCCTAAACAAATACAAAAATGGTGTTCTTTACCTCTCGGGTACAGATAGTGTTGCCCAAATGCGAGACCAAGAAGAGTCTTGGTCTTGCATACTTAGCATGGTCTATGTCTCGGTCTTGCGCAAGAGTCTCATAACATTCTTGCAGTTACCTATTAGCTTATTACTATAGAGATATTACTGTATTTTTTAGATATAAGATACCTAACTAAGTCCAAATGAAAAATTAGAAGAGTTAAATGCAAAAGTATATTGGTTATACCGATTCTTAACATATAGTATATAAAATTGTCAATTATTAGTAATTTTGTCATAATTTTTATTTAAAAAATCTATTTTTTTACCAGTCTTGGTCTCGGTCTTGCAAAGTACGAAACCAAGACCTATTTTGGGCAATACTAAGTACAGATATTTAATAAATTATTAATATTAAACACTGCACGAACACTAGCACATAATTGCAAATTTGTCTAGAATCAAACTAACGAAATAGTTTTGATTTAAAATATATCAATACATCACAAAAACAATCAGTATTTTTCATTTAATTATCTATATTTAGGATCAATAAAAATAAATAAAAATTCAAATTAAATTAAATCACAATAATCACTCAATTTGTTGAGAAATAAAAAAAAAAAAGACATCAGAAACTTGTAAAATATTTTATATACAATAACACTTTGATGTTTTAAAAATTTTCTTAATTATTTATTATCTTTGAATATAATAATAGAAATTTTTAGGGCGTGGTAACATATTTACATATATTAAATATGTAAATATATTAGCATGGCCTTAGATTTGCCAGGAAGTTGATTTTTCTTGATTGACTTTAGTTTGCATACTTTATTTATTCATGTAGATTTTCTTTTTATTTTAATATTATATTATATTTTAGGTTTATTTTTGTACACTTAATAATTGGAGTAGGAATGATATTTCCGCCCTAAGTTATTATTGGAAGTATTGCCTCTTTTATTATTGGAAGTATTGCCTTCCAGCCCTAAGTTTGCACCATGTACCATAAAGAGTAACAGAATCCAAAAGATAAATTTAATAATGATTTTGTTTCAGTTTTATTGTTTTATTACACCGAACTACTCATTAGGAGTTAGCTTTTATAACAACATAACCTAATAATATACTGATAAAATTGTATTATACTGATATAAAAGGTGTAATAAAATATTTGTATAACAAAAGATGAAAATCTTAGTAAGGAAATACTATATTTTTTGATTAATGAATTACTTTCATTTTGAAATTTTATTAAAACGTTTTTAATAAGCAATTATTATTTTAAAAGACCAACAAGGATTGAAAATCGCATTTTTATTTATTTATTTTTTTAACTGACGATTAGACCAACTAGAAACCAATTATCTCATTTCTTATTAACATTTTTATATGTGATAATGTGATATTTTGACTAACACATCTTGAATATGGCACTTCATTTCTAAGACCAGCTTTAATCACAAATATTAACTATGAAATTATTTGAGAACATCCAGTATGTATTAAATAATCTCTTTTATCAAACTTTCAATTTATTTCAATGAATATTAAACTTTTGAGTAAAAAGATCTGTAAAATTCTTATAATTATCAGTGATGATTTCCTGTAAGTTTTAGAGAAGTGTTAGCTTGGGTTATTGAAGAAAAAATGAATTGCCAATATTTTATTTCTTAAAAGTATGAGCAAAGAACAAAAAAAATTGTGTACGAATGTTAGCTCCTCCATT